AGCCTGGAGTTGACAATTGAGTTGGATAGTCAGGCCTGAATTTGAAAGCTGGGTGGGCTAGCTGGGCTGTGGTTTGAGAGCCAAGTGGTGTAGCTGGACCTGGGCTTGACAGTTGGGATAGTTCGGGTCTGGTTTTATAAGCTGAGCGAGGTAGCTTGACTTCATCTTGAGAGCTGTGTAGACTGACTGGCTAACTGGGCAGCCTAGAATGTGAGGTTTTGATTTTGGGTAGCTAATAAGTGACAGTTTGGATCCTTCTCTGAGCACAGACATGGAAGGGAGACAAAGGAGGAACTAGTAGATGGGACTTCACTTCGTAGGGGGCATTTTTGTCTTAGCCACCCTTCTCCTGACCCATGACCAATGTGCAACTTCTCCCAGGAAAGTCCCAGGTTGCAACAGTTGTGCAGGCACTGCTGAGGCCGCTCTCTTCATTCAAGTGGAAAACCAGGCTAGAGCCAGACCCATACGCATAAAGGGCCCTTAAGAAGCCATCTCTGGGCACAAATCATCATTCAATTGACAAGTATTTGGGGAAGCTGCAGCTGAATGATAGCTTGTAACTTATGAGCTACCCAGCAAAATATTGGGCCACAATAGGTCAGTATTATCTCATGTAGTTAGCTTTTACTAGCAGGGTGGTAATCTTACTCGGGAGACCCTTGGGGATCCTTCTCAGCCACTAGAAAACTGAGTGTTTCCAAAGGTGACCTGTATTCATCTATATACATATATATATGGATATACAGTACTGCCCCCTTTACAGATCATTGATGTCAGTTGTTGCTGAGAGACGAAAATGGTTAATTGCTGGAGGAACCCCTAGAACCCCTTGGAGGAACCCCTAGAACCCTTTGAAGGAACCCTAGAACCCTTTGAAGGAACCCCTAGAACCCTTTGGAGGACCCCTGGCTGAGAAAGGCTGGACTAGGCAGTCATATATTTCTGTCCCCCTTGGTGGGAGTGGAGGTGACCCCTCTATGAGGACATACAGTCCATACACACCCAGCACAAGGCCGGGGTCACACTACCAGACGGTTCTCGGGGCTGCAGTTCCTCTGAGCTCCACAAGGTGGGGATCTCACTTCTACCCAGACAGGAAGTCTGTATGGAAGACAGGAAGTGATGTCGGGTATAAATGGGAAGTTCCGGGTGAGATGTGAGTCGGGAGGAAGTAGAGAGGAGACATTGCTGGAAGGGGCAGCAGAAAAGGTAATGAGATCTGATTTTCTATTTACACCCAGTAACCCCCGCGTCCGTCCTCTTCCTCCATCGTCGCGTCCGCCCTCTTCCTCCATCGTCGCGTCCGTCCACTTCCTCCATCGTCGCGTCCGTCCACTTCCTCCATCGTCGCGTCCGTCCTCTTCCTCCATCGTCGCATCCGCCCTCTTCCTCCATCGGTGCGTCCGTCCTCTTCCTCCATCGTCACGTCCGTCCTCTTCCTCCATCGTCGCGTCCGTCCTCTTCCTCCATCGTCGCGTCCGTCCTCTTCCTCCATCGTCGCGTCCGTCCTCTTCCTCCATCGTCGCGTCCGTCCTCTTCCTCCATCGTCGCGTCCGTCCTCTTCCTCCATCGTCGCGTCCGTCCTCTTCCTCCATAGTCATGTCCGTCTTCTTCCTCCATAGTCACTGTGACGTCTTTTATCTCTAGCAGATGATGATACACACATATATAGTGTGGGAACCCAGATTAACCCCTTCAGGGGCAGAACATTCCCCCACTTCCGGGGCCGGAACATTCTCCTCATTGTGGAGATGTCACCTTCTCACCTTAGCAGTCTCTTGTCACGTGGGAGGAGCTCCGGACTTGGGTTGTACTGAAGAAGGTTGATAGCCCAGCTCCTCAGTAAACTTCAGTGTAAAGGAAACCTCTCTTTCAGCCGGATGAGTTCCACACCATGAAGCTCCCAGACTTTTTATTTACTGAATGGAGGTCAATAATAGTAGATTGGTGCGTTGGGGGTGAGGTGTGGGTGTGGGTGGGGGGCTGGCGATAAGCAAAGCTAACTGTAAATGAGAATGAAGATGTCCCGGCCATAGAACACCTACATCTAAGTATACTACTGGGATACGTCCCTGAGAGCTGTGCCGGTCTCCTCACACTACATACACCATGAAGGGGACCCCCATGTGTTTTATGGTGTGGTCCCCCTCAGCAGACAATGGCTCCTCTAGCGCCCTTTAAAGGTAACCAACAGACAATGAAATAAAGATCCTGTTTCTTGTCTTCAGATCTACAACTAAAATACTTCAGAGACAAAGCTGAGTGTGTCATTTCTGATCGGGGAGGTAGGAGAAAATATAACAGGTCTGATGGGGGAGAGACACACCAAGTACTAAGTCATACAATCTACGTGTGTCAGTCCCCACTGCGAGTAGCCCTTCCCCATCTCAATATTGTACAACACAATACAGTCCACATAATTCTCCGCTATCCGTCTACAGAGACCACACCAATGAGGATGGAGGAGGACCGGAGTCACATGACTGAGAGGATACTAAACCTCACCCTGGAGATCATCTACCTGCTGACCGGAGAGGTGAGGAGGATTCTGGGAGGTCACATGACATCACTCTCATCTCTAATAATAAAACACAGACCTGACCGGAGAGGTGAGGAGGATTCTGGGAGGTCATATGACATCACTCTCATCTCTATTAATAAAACACAGACGTAACCGGAGAGGTGAGGAGGATTCTGGGAGGTCACATGACATCACTCTCATCTCTATTAATAACACACAGACCTGACTGGAGAGGTGAGGAGGATTCTGGGAGGTCACATGACATCACTCATCTCTATTAATAAAACACAGACCTGACCGGAGAGGTGAGGAAGATTCTGGGAGGTCACATGACATCACACAGACCTGATCGGAGAGGTGAGGAGGATTCTGGGAGGTCACATGACATCACTCTTATCTCTTAATAAAACACAGACCTGACCGGAGAGGTGAGGAGGATTCTGGGAGGTCACATGACATCACTCCTATCTCTATTAATAAAACACAGACTTGACCGGAGAGGTGAGGAGGATTCTGGGAGGTCACATGACATCACACAGACCTGACCGGGGAGGTGAGGAGGATTCTGGGAGGTCACATGACATCACTCTGGTCTAGTCTGGCCAATAGACCATGTTCTTCTTGTAGATGATGTCAGATGATTGATATCTGTTTCTCTTTCTCCTGATCTGTAGGATTATGTTGTAGTGAAGAAGTCTAGTGGGGAGCCAATCTCAGGAGGATGGAGCAGGACCCAGAGCCCCACCATGGTGCCTCCCCCTCGTTCTCCGATACCTGAGAGGAACAAAGAGCAGAAGATCCTGGAACTGACCACCATGATGGTCCATCTGCTGACAGGAGAGGTGAGCGGTGCCGGGAATTCTGGGACATTCTCCAGTAACAGACAAGGGATATGTCTGGATGGTGACTGTATCATTGTGTGTGTCAGGTTCCTATAAGGTGTCAGGGTGTCACTGTCTATTTCTCCATGGAGGAGTGGGAGTATTTAGAAGGACACAAGGACCTCTACAAGGACATCATGATGGACAATCAGCTGCCCCTCACATCACCGGGTAAGAGGAAACTTTATTGGGAAGGAGAGAGCAGTACAGAGGCTCCACCTAGATCCCCCATCATCTGATAAACACATAGAAACAATGGATTCAGTGTGTGTGTTTCCTACAGATGGATCCAGTCATGGGAACCCACCAGAGAGATGTCCCCATCCTCTGTATTCCCGGAATTCCACACAGGAAGGTCACACCATCCCTCACCATCATCATGTAGATGGATCCAGTCATGGGAACCCACCAGAGAGATGTCCCCGTCCTCTGTATTCCCGGGATTCCACACAGGAAGATCCCACCATCCCTCACCATCATCAGGTCGGTGGAGTTGAGGGTCGGGAATATAAAGTGAGATAACACTCTGACATGTGGAGACGATGTGTGGACTCTACAAGATGAGATGTTCTATGTGATCTCACATCATAAATCCTTCTATGTTACAGATGTAATTTTCTGCCATTCTGTTGGTTTAGGGTGAAGATCTGATGGACATGAAAGTTGAGGGTGAAGTAGAAGAGACGTATGTGAGGGATGATCAGCAATATACAGAGGAAGCTGGAATGAGGAGGACATTCATAGAGGAGGACACTCCTACAGAGATCAGCACAGGTGACCAGAATATGTTCTTCGCCTGTCTCTGCTCTGTTACCGCCCCCCCCCCCTTCCCCCTTCATTGGTTCCTGCTCCTCTGACAAGGCGATGTAAATGTAGAAGTGATCTGGGAGGACCAAAGGCTCTTTGAAGAGGGGAGGAGTCCCAGCTGGTTGGGACATCCACAGAGAACATCTGCTCCCTCCTATCTCCCTGAATCTTGATGGAAGTGAACTAACCCAAAGGGGTGTAAATGTAGAAGTGATCTGGGAGGAGGAGCAAAGGCCCTTTGACTGATCTCCCTGATCCTGATGGAATCTTGATGGAAGTGAACTAACCCTCTCCTGTCTATTGATGATGTTTTTCTATTTTTCCAGGACCCGCCATGGAGGAACCCTCAAAGGATCGTCTCACTTTATCTCCAGGTTGTAAAATGGAAGATGAGGACATCCCAGGAGATTGTGCCGGAGAAAAGACAATGAGCTCCACTATGGATGGTGGACTTGCCAGTGTGGAGAGACCATGGAATCCCTCTGACTCTGAGCAACCTCGTACTGTGGGGGATGGGGCTGGGATTCAGCAGGAAAACTCACTCAATTCATTTATCTGTCCTGAATTTGGGGAAAGTTTTAGTTCTAAAATTCTTTCTGTACATCAGAGATCTCACACGGGTACAGAGAATCATTCCTGTTCTGAGTGCGGGAAATATTTTTTATATAAATCAGAACTAGTCATACATCAAAGGTCTCACACGGGTGAAAAGCCATATTGTTGTCCTGAGTGCAGGAAATGTTTTTCACAGAAGTCCTATCTTAAATCACATCAGAGGTCTCACACAGGTGAGAAACCGTATTCCTGTTCTGTGTGTGGAAAATGTTTTACACAAAAATCAGACCTTGTGAAACATCAAACAATTCACACGGGGGAGAAGCCATATTCCTGCCCTGAGTGTGGAAAATGTTTTTCCCAGAGTTCCCACCTTTACACACATCAGAGATCACACACGGGTGAGAAACTTCATTCCTGTTCAGAGTGCGGGAAATGTTTTCCCCATAAATCACAACTAGTCAGACATCATAGATCTCACACAGGGGAGAAGCCGTATCCCTGCCCTGAATGCGGGAAATTTTTTTCACAGAGGTTTTATCTTAATATACATCAGAGGTTTCACACAGGTGAGAAGCCATATTCATGTCCCGAGTGCGGAAAATGTTTTCTACAAAAATCAGACCTCAATAAACATCAAATATGTCATACAGGGGAGAAGGCATATTCCTGCCCTGAGTGTGGTAAATGTTTTTTTTTTTCACAAAGCAGACCTTCGTAAACATCAAATATGTCACACAGGGGAGAAGGCGTATTCCTGCCCTGAGTGCGGGAAATGTTTTTCACAGAATTCCCAACTTAAAACACATCAGAAGTCTCACACAGGTGAGAAGCTTCTTTCCTGTTCGGAGTGCGGGAAATGTTTTTCCCATAAATCAGAGCTGGTCAGACATCTCAGATCTCACACAGGGGAGAAGCCGTATTCCTGCCCTGAGTGCGGGAAATGTTTTTCACTCAAGTCCAATCTTAAAACGCATCAGAAGTCTCACGGGAGTAAGAAGATGCATTTCTGTTCTTAGTACGAAAAATGCTTTCAACAAAATCCAATCTTACTTTACATCAGATATGCCTTTCCCTGGAAAATCTGGGAACTGCTATCCACCATAATCAGAACTTGTCAGACGGTATTTATCAGCCTGTACAGGCAGCTTCATTTACTTGCAGAGTGTCACCTGCTGGATGAAAGTGGAAAATACAACATTTTCTGATGTAACATTTCATATTTACCCCAAGAAAGCATCTGTATGAACACATTTTTCTAGTATGAAACAAAAAATTAAAAACGTATATTCTAACTCATGATGTTCTTTGTAAATTGGTTGGTTGTAAGCTGGTTGATAAAAGTCTGCCTTTAGATTTGTGTGATGAAATCTTTTCTTCTCCTTCTGTTATAGCTGGTCCATGATTTCCTTAATAAACAGGACTCTCAGCATTAAGTGATTACAGGAAAAAAAGTTCTTGATCTTAGTAGTATCTCTTATAGTTTAGATGTATTATTGTCCCATGGTAGAGTCCTCCTTTCCTATAGGGCTTTTATCTATAACTTTTGTGGCCCCTCCTATAGTTATAGCTGATCCATGATTTCCGTAATGAACAGGACTCTCAGCATTAAGTAATTTCAGGAAAAAAGTTCTTGATCTTAGTAGTATCTCTTATAGTGTAGATTTATTATTGTCCCATGGTAGAGTCCTCCTTTCCTATAGGGCTTTTATCTAAAACGTTTGTAGCCCCGCCTTTAGTAATAGCTGCTCCATGGTTTCCTTAATAAACAGGACTCCCAGCAAGGTGCATATGGTTTTAATTTGAGTCTCCATCTTGTGTCTTAGTAGTTTGGTTTTCCCAGCTTGTCCTTGTTGGAACAGCCAACTCTCCCCCTTCTCATAGACCTCAGGATGTCTCTAGTATACTCCTATGATAAGTCCATCATTCCATAGAGCCATCTATCATTCCTCCCGTAATTCCTCCTCCGCACCATTACCTTGTTGGAACAGCCGACTCTCCCCCTTCTCATAGACCTTGGGATGTCTGTAGTATACTCCAATGATAAGTCCATCAGTCCATAGACCCATATATCATTCCTCCCGTAATTCCTCCTCCGCACCATCACCACCTCCAACCACAAGATCATTTTTCTCTTTTCTATTCTTTTCTTTTCTCCATCTCCTCCATTTTCTAACACTACAAGTAAGGCACCATCACCATCTCCAACCACAAGATCATCTTTCTTCCTCACTTTCAGATCACATCTAACGTAGAGAATCCCCCCTCCATCTTTTCTATGTCGGCGGGAGGTAGGGCTATTTTCGGCAGCTGTATCGGTGCCTATTTTCATATTGGACAAAGGGGTTTTTTTTGGCCACTGAAATTTCGGTGTATCTCTACCATGTAGTTGGAACAGTCGACTCTCCCCCTTCTCATAGACCTCAGGACGTCTGTAGAAATACTCCAATGATAAGTCCATCAGTCCATAGACCCATCATTCCACCCGTAATTTCTCCTCCGCACCATCACCACCTCCACCTCCACCACAAGATCATTCTTCTCTTTCCTTTTCCTCTGTTCTTCTTCTCCTTATCCTCTTCTCCTCCTCGATTTTCTAACTCTACAAGTACAGCCCATTCTGTAGGTTTTAGTCTTCATCTTGTGTCTTAGTAGTTTGGTGTTCCCAGCTTGTCCTTGTTGGAACAGCTGACTCTCCCCTTCTCATAGACCTCAGGACGTCTGTAGTATACTCCAATGATAAGTCCATCAGTCCATAGACCCATATATCATTCCTCCCGTAATTCCTCCTCCGCACCATCACCACCTCCAACCACAAGATCATTGTATTTTCTTTTCCCTTTTCTCCATCTCCTCCAGTCTCCTCCATTTTCTAACACTACAAGTAAGACACCATCACCACCTCCAACCACAAGATCATCTTTCTTCCTCACTTTCAGATCACATCTAACATAGAGAATCACCCATCTTTTCTATGTCGGCGGGGGGCAGGGCTATTTTCGCACCTGTATCGGTGCCTATTTTCATATTGGGCAAAAGGGTATTTTTTGGCCGCTGAAATTTCTGTGTATCTCTACCATGTAGTTGGAACAGTCGACTCTCCCCCTTCTCGTAGACCTCAGGACATCTGTAGTATACTCCAATGATAAGTCCATCAGTCCATAGACCCATCTATCATTCCACCTGTGATTTCTCCTCCGCACCATCACCACTTCCACCACAAGATCATTCTCCTCTTTCCTTTTCCTCTGTTCTTCTTCTGTTTTTCTCCTCTTTTCTCCTTATCCTCTTCTCCTCCTCCATTTTCTAACTCTACAAGTACAGCGCATTCTGTAGGTTTTAGTCTCCATCTTGTGTCTTAGTAGTTTCGTGTTCCCAGCTTGTCCTTGTTGGAACAGCCGACTCTCCACCTTCTCATAGATCTCAGGACGTCTGTAGTATACTCCAATGATCAGTCCATCAGTCCATAGACCCATCTATCATTCCTCCCGTAATTCCTCCTTCGCACCATCACCTTGTTGGAACAGCCGACTCTCCCTCTTCTCATAGACCTCAGGACGTCTGTAGTATACTCCAATGATAAGTCCATCAGTCCATAGACCCATCTATCATTCTCCCGTAATTCCTCCTCCGCACCATCACCACCTCCAACCTCAAGATCATTCTTGATTTCTCTTTTCCTCTTTTCTCCTCCTTCTCCATATTGTAACACTACAAGTAAGGCCCATCCTGTAGGTTTTAGTCTTCATCTTGTGTCTTAATAGTTTGGTGTTCCCAGCTTGTCCTTGTTGGAACAGCCGACTCTCCCCCTTCTCATAGACCTCAGGACGTCTGTAGTATACTCCAATGATAAGTCCATCAGTCCATAGACCCATCTATCATTCCTCCCGTAATTCCTCCTCCGCACCATCACCACCTTCAACCACAAGATCATTTTTCTCTTTTCTATTCTTTTCTTTTCTCCATCTCCTCCATTTTCTAACACTACAAGTAAGGCACCATCACCATCTCCAACCACAAGATCATCTTTCTTCCTCACTTTCAGATCACATCTAACGTAGAGAATCCCCCCTCCATCTTTTCTATGTCGGCGGGAGGTGGGGCTATTTTCGGCAGCTGTATCGGTGCCTATTTTCATATTGGACAAAGGGGTTTTTTTTGGCCACTGAAATTTCTGTGTATCTCTACCATGTAGTTGAAACAGTCGACTCTCCCCCTTCTCATAGACCTCAGGACGTCTGTAGAATACTCCAATGATAAGTCCATCAGTCCATAGACCCATCTATCATTCCACCCGTAATTTCTCCTCCGCACCATCACCACCTCCACCTCCACCACAAGATCATTCTTCTATTTCCTTTTCCTCTGTTCTTCTTCTCCTTATCCTCTTCTCCTCCTCGATTTTCTAACTCTACAAGTACAGCCCATTCTGTAGGTTTTAGTCTTCATCTTGTGTCTTAGTAGTTTGGTGTTCCCAGCTTGTCCTTGTTGGAACAGCCGACTCTCCCCCTTCTCATAGACCTCAGGACGTCTGTAGTATACTCCAATGATAAGTCCATCAGTCCATAGACCCATCTATCATTCCACCCGTAATTCCTCCTCCGCACCATCACCACCTCCAACCACAAAATCATTCTTCTCTTTCCTTTTCCTCTTTTCTTCTGCTTCTCCTCTTTTCTCTTTCCCCTCCTCCATTTTCTAACACAAGTACGGCCATTACTGTAGGTTTTAGTCTCCATCTTGTGTCTTAATAGTTTGGTGTTCCCAGCTTGTCCTTGTTGGAACAGTCGACTCTCCCTCTTCTCATAGACCTCAGGACGTCTGTAGTATACTCCAATGATAAGTCCAGCAGTCCATAGACCCATCTATCATTCCTCCCGTAATTCCTCACCATTACCACCTCCAACCACAAGATATTTTTTTTCTTTCATTTTTCTTCTTTTAGCTGTCAGATTCTGCAGTAAACCAAATGAAACAAACCTAATATGTATTATTATGCCATTTCTAAATATGATTGCTGTTTATACAAACTACTTACAGTTACAGGAAAAACAACACAAAACATAGAGTGATATACAGTTGTGTTCAAAATAATAGCAGCGTGTTGAAAAAAGCGAATAAAGCTCAAAATCCTTCTAATAGCTTTTATTTCCATACACACAAATGCATTGGGAACACTACACATTCTATTCCAAATCCAAACATGAAGAAAAATATATCAAATTTGTGTTGTTCCTCTAAAAAATTTGAAGAAAAGTGAATATTAGTCTGTTCAAAAAAATAGCAGTGTTTGTATTCTTCTTTACAAACTCAAACATTCACTATATAAACTGACAAAATGTTTGAAGATTTTGCTTTCCTTTGAATCACTTAATGAATATTTAGTTGTATAAGCACTGTTTCTGAGAACTGCTGTACATCTGTGTTGCATGGAGTCAACCAACTTCTGGCACCTGTGAACAGGTATTCCAGCCCAGGATGATTGGACTACATTCCAGTTCTTCTCTCTTTCTTGGTTTTGCCTCAGAAACGGCATTTTTGATGTCACCCCACAAGTTGTCTATTGGAT